AGGTGATGAATAATGAGGAGGTGCTTGCAGATCTTGACCAAATTTCCTCTTTCCTTGACTCCATCAGCGCTCCTGCCTCCTCTGCCCATCAACCGCTGCTGGACAAGGCTCCGCCGCAGCCCGTCGCACCTCCTCTCCTGATGCCACCTCACCCTCCTCCAACCACCTCCGTCGCTGGCTCTCAAAGGAGCAGTGGGCGGCTCGCGGCCAAGCCCACTAAGGGACTCAGCTCCATGGACAAGGCTCGACTGGTCCTAATGAAGAAGGAGGGAATACTAGTCGGGGACGGGCCACCCACTCCTGACGTGCTCCAGAAATATAAGGATCTGTACAAAGAAGAGCTCCCCCAACGCTTCATCGATGCTGTCACCGCGCTGGTGGAAGCGACTGCAAGGGGAAAGAACAAAGCACCGCTTTCCAGGATGGGGGCTGAAGGACAAGCTTTGGTTATCTGAAGTTTGGTTCGATTCATCTAGTGTCCCAACTCTTTTTTATGTTAAGTCAATTTCCAAGTTGTAGCTCTCTGCAGTTAGTGTATTTGATTGTTCGTTCGCTGAATTCAGTTGTAGTCTTGTTGTCAATGTACTGGGTTAGCAAGGGGTTGTGCTGGTGGTCCTGGTCTGCTGGGACTGATTGCAGATTGAATAGGATGATGTTTGAGAGGATGTTGTGGTGTTCGTCTCTGGCTGTGGGCTGGGCAGCGGCTTGGCAAAGAGTGTTATTTTGTTTATGGATTTAAAGATACTCACTTGGAACGTCAGGGGGCTGCACAACCCTGCAAAAAGAAGAAATGTTGCGAAGTTGATTGCTGAATTGAATTGTAACATAATTTGCCTGCAAGAGACAAAGCTGGAACAAGTTGACAGGGCATTGGTGTCTGAATTTGCTAGTGCTTGTTTCGCAGACAATTTCATATTCAAACCAGCCTGTGGTTCCAGAGGGGGTATTGTTATAGCTTGCTCTAGTGATTTCGCCATTGCTCCAATGTTGGCAATCCCAGATGAGTTCTCCCTGTCGGCGACAATCATTGATAGATCGACCAACGCCTCTTGGTCGATCACTGGAGTGTATGGCCCGCAGATGGCTGTTGAAAAACGCAGATTCTTATCAGAATTAGCTGCTCTAAAACCTCGTATGCTGAATGAATGGCTAGTATTGGGAGATTTTAACCTTATTTGCAAGGCAGAGGAAAAGAGCAACTCCAACATTAACTTGGGGCTGATGGCACAATTCAGAAACACTATTGATTTGATGGAACTGAGAGATTTGCCTCTATCTGGTAAAAAATTCACTTGGTCTAATGAGCGAGCCGGCAGAACCTTGTCCAAGATCGATCGGGTGCTTATTTCCAATGATTGGGAACTTAGATATCCTCAGTATCAATTAAACCCGGCATCCTCGGCTATCTCGGATCACTCTCCCTTGTTACTAAAAAAGATGGATGCCAAGGTTTATAAGGGCTTCAGGTTCGAGGCATATTGGCTCAACATGCAAGGAATTGATTCTGTGGTATCGCAAAGTTGAAACAAGGCCCTGAGATCATCTGATCCAGTGAGAAGATTCCACATAAAGCTTTCCAGGACAGCTAAGGCTTTTAGGGCTTGGGACAAAGCTATCAAAGTTTCTTCTAATATTGCTTTCAATGTGGCCAATGAGGTCATTTTTCAACTGGACCTAGCTATGGAGGACCGAGAGCTATCTGAGGCAGAATGGGCTCTCCGAAGATTTCTTAAAGCCAGATTGCTGGGACTTGCGGCGCTGGAAAGGATTAGATGGCGTCAACGCTCCAGAATCACTACAATTAAAGCCAGTGATTCAAGCTCCAAATTATTTCACCTACGGGCGAATGGAAGAAGAAGAAAAAATCACATTCCTGTTCTGAGAGGGCCATAAGGGGATGTGTCTGATCATAGGCTGAAAGAAGGCATCCTTTTCAACCACTTCAAAAACCTGATAGGCACACCAATGAATGAGAGAAAAGTTATGAATTGGGATTTGTTCCAGCACCCTTCAGCTGATTTGCAACATCTGGAAACACAATTCAACGAAGATGAAATCAAAGCTGCCGTTTTTTATCTGCATGATGAGAAGGCTCCGGGGCCAGACGGCTTCATTGGCAAATTTTTCAAACGCTTCTGGGACTTAATAAGGGAGGATCTGGTAGCCGCGGTGCAGCAACTATATTGCCTTAGGGGGGATAATTGGAAACTACTTAACTCTGCCCACATTGTCCTTCTGCCAAAGGTTACGGCTTCCATTCACGCCTCTGACTACAGACCTGTGAGTCTGCTGCACAGTTTTGCCAAGATTTTCTGCAAGCTACTTGCAAATCGGTTAGGCCCGGAGCTGCAATGACTAATATCCTGCACCCAAAGCGCATTCATCCGTGGAAGATCTATTCAGGATAACTTCCTCTATGTTAAGAATACCATCAGAGATGCACATAAGAGAAAGATTCCACTGGTGTTCCTGAAACTTGACTTTGCTAAGGCTTTTGATACAGTTAGTTGGCCATACCTGATTGATGTTATGAAGGCGTATGGTTTCGGGCAAAGATGGAGAGATATCATCAGTTTACTACTTGCTTCCTCGACCTCTCGGGTTCTGCTCAACGGGTCACCCGGGCCTGCTTTTGCACACAGAAAAGGATTTCGTCAAGGAGACCCGTTGTCACCAATGTTGTTTATCTTGGCAATGGATCCGCTCCTCAGAATTCTGGACAGTGCAACTGCTCAGGGTATTCTAACTCCGATGCCACGGAATGTTGCAAGAATGAGGGCCAGTCTTTATGCGGATGACGCAGCAATTTTTGCCTCTCCGGATCGCCGGCAGATCGAGGCCATTATCAGAATTCTTGATGTATTTGGGAGCATCTCGGGTCTTACTATCAACCCCAATAAATGTGTGATTTACCCCATTCAGTGTCAGCAAAGTAGTGTACAAAATCTGATAACCAACTTTGGAGGTTCAGTGGGTTCTTTTCCCTGCAAATACCTGGGACTACCTCTGTCCATGAGAAACTTGAGACGAACAGAGCTGCAACCTTTATTGGACAAGGGTAAATCCAGATTAGCTATCTGGAAAGGGAAGCTGATGAACAGAACGGGCAGACTAGATCTGATCAATTCGGCCCTCACAGCCACCATCACATATTTTCTCACTGCTTTCTCTCCCAATAGCTGGTTCACCAAGAAATTTGACAAGTTGAGAAGAAATTTTCTATGGAGCACAGAAGAGGAAGCACACGGAGGAAAGTGCCTTGTCAACTGGAAGCGAATCTGCGCGCCACTAAGCATGGGTGGCCTGGGAATCAAGGAAATACACGCTTTTGGTCGGGCGCTAAGACTGCGATGGCCATGGTATGAATGGGACAATCTGGACAGGCCATGGAAAGGGACCCCGATTCCTTGCAATCAAACGGACCTGAATTTATTTGCGGCCTGCACTTCGATTTCGCTCGGAGATGGTAATCTGGTGAATTTTTGGAAGCATAGATGGTTACAGGGCCGAGCACCCAAGGAATTGGCCCCTGAACTATTCCAGATGGCTAGGTCCAAAAGACTTCTGTTAATCAGGCCCTTAGTGGAGGTGCTTGGATGAGAGGCCTTCAGGTTATCAACTCTTCTGTTATGCTGGACTCCTTTATTGATCTCTGGACAAAAGTGCAGTCCATTTCGTTGCTGCCTACACCCGACAAGATTATGTGGAAGCTGACAGCCAATGGGGAGTACTCCGCAAAATCGGCTTACCATGTGCAGTTCCTAACTCGCATTCCTCAACCACACCTTCAGAACGTGTGGAGAATCAGAGCGGAAAAGAAAGTCAAATTCTTCATCTGGTTACTCCTTCAAAATAGGCTCTGGACTGCTGATCGGTTGAATGCAAAGAATTGGGATCACACTGAGTTATGCGTTGGCTGTGATCAAATTTTGGAATCTGCACATCATTTGGTTCTCGAGTGCCCTTTTGCAAAACAGATTTGGCATGAGGCAAACCACACTTATCCACTAGCAGCCCAGGCTTCAATGAGCGCCACCTCTATTTCCTCCTGGTGGAACAAAGTGGCGAAGCTAAAGAAAAAAGGCCAACCGGTTGATGAGTGCACAGCGGCTGCATATATTGCTTGGAATATTTGGCTTGAGCGAAACAGAAGGATATTTAAGGCCATCAATCAATCCAGTTCGGCTGTACTCCTTAGAGCGAAAGATGAGTTGAGCCTCCTGATGGAGGCATGGGAGTAGTAGCTGATTGGGTAGCGGGGCTGTTAGCAGCACTAGGCTACCAATATTAGCTTTTTTGTTATTACGCTCTGATCTCGTTATGCCCCCCCTCTTATCTGGTTGTCGATCCTCTACTGGCAACACTGTACAGTTTTTCCCCCTACTATAATGAAAAAGGCAGAACACCTGCCAGTTCCGCTAAAAAAAAAACTAAAACATAACCATCCGGTTATTTTCTTGTTTCATCTTGCGATTCCAAAAAAGAAGATATCTACTACTAGCACCTAACAGCAAAATGTGCCACTAGGCAGTAAGCATAACCATGCAATATATTAGCATTTTCTTATTAAATAAGATATAAAAGAGAAAACATGCAGTGCACCATTCTACGTAACTTGAATAAAAGATGTACATTGCTACTCAGCAAAATTTGCATCTCTTAAAGGTGCAGTTTAGCATGGTTAAAATGTCATGTTCATTGGATGCTCAAACCAAAATGGTCTGCATGACTGCACTTAGCTCACATCTTGATCTAGGTTTATCATAGCTAGTTCAAATACACAAAAATTTATGTCCAATGATCCATGACAACCAGAAGTATGCAAGCACAGCCGAGGTATGACATAAGAAGTGAAACAAAACATAATTTCCATCTAAGATCTATACAGTTTGAATTTTGTTTTCCTTAAGTTTGCTTATGCAGAAATAAGGCATCACCCAAAGAAAAGCATCTGTAAAATCAGATTCAGGATAATTAAAAGGACTACCTCCGAATATTAGTTACCAACAAGGTTCCCACTTGCATCCTGGAAGGGCAACAAACTTGTTCCAGTCTGGACCTTCCTTTTGCTGAAACTGCTCCTCCAATGCTTGATTGCATTCAGAAAGGAAAAATGTTTCAAGTGATACAGGAAGACCACTCCGTGGCAGTGACATCAGCCGGGGGCACCGATCAATTGAGAGAACCCGAAGCGAATAAAAACCATCCATATCCGGAAGCCACAATAAATTAGAACAACCACTAATCGTCAGCCTCACAAGCGAAACAAGGTCACACAACTGTCGCAGAGATGATAGCCTATCACAAAATTTTACAATCAGCTCCTTCAGGGCTGTCTGGTGGCCTGCTTTAGACAGTCGCATAACTTGAGGGCACTCGGATAAATGTAGCTTTTGAAGAGATGGCATGTCATCTAAGTACGGTACAGATTCCAGAGCATAACATTCTTTAATTGTCATCTCTTCAAGGGACAACAGTGCTTCTGCTCCCTCAATGGATGATATCCAATCACATGTATGAATGTCCAACTGTTTCAGCATCGTCAAGTGGTGTAGGCTTACCGGTATACCCGGTATCTCAACAGTGTCACATTCGCTTAAGTGTAGTGCACCAAGCGACGAGAGATTCTTCAGTAACTTGTTGAAAGAGGATGGTTGCAGGTAGCACCCTTTTAACTTAAGGAATCGAAGTGATGAAGGAAGTACAGTGCTCCCATTCTCATTCCACAATGTAGCAATTACGGAGAAGCTTTCTGCCAGGTTGTTGCCACATATTTGCAACTGTTTAAGTGATTTCAGATTGTTAAACACGGTGATGGACGTGTCTACCAAACGCTCCACATAGATCCCCATATCTTGTACAAACTCTAGGTGATGAGCATGCAAGACATGGAAGGAACTTGATACAAGGCGACAAAATGATTTTGACAGATCAAGACTATCCCACCGTAACTTAACTTTGATTGTTTCCTTGTCAAGTATAGCTATATGTCTGAGTGTACGAGCATGGGTGGGATATGCTCTTAGCCGTGGACAACCAGCTACAGAGAGATGTCTGAGATTCTGCAAGACTTTGTCATTGTCCACAAGGCACCACTCCAATTTGGGTAGGCGTTCTAGTAGCAATGTTTCCAAAAAAGGGAATCCAGCATGGCCAAAAAACTCCTGACCGAGTGCTTTTAGTTTTTTCATTCGCCGCACTTCAAGAGTTCTGAGTAAGGGGAGATCCCCTAAAGGTGGAAGGACCTCCCATCTCTTACAATCTCGTAGACAGATCAATTTCAATCTTCTCAGCCAATCAGACTCTAACCAAGAAGGAGACTTGACACCTGGGTACCCACTGATAGTTAGCTCGTGAAGATTGCGGTGCGGCTTTAACACATCAAGCACCTCAAAGCCCTTGTCAATATCATGAGCACCATCACATGATTCCCATTGTAGCTCCAACTTAGAGATGTGCTCCTTCAAGTCTAGATCAGACTTTGCAGCTTCCTCCCTGTTTTTTACATTCTCCAGAAACCTAACAGAAAGCTCTCCCCTGAACTTGTTGAGATCCTTCAGTTGGACCAAACTTTGCTCTTCCTTGTCAACGAGGAATTCTACTGAACCCTCAATGCACGGAAGCTGATGTATACCTGATAATGTGAGAGTGTAAGCCTTCTCTACATCGACATGCTCCAAGTTAATAAGCCTGCTAATGCTTTCAGGAAGACTGAAATAGCGTCCAGTAGCATTCCTGCTTGAATATTTCAGATGTTTTCTATTGTTTGAGCAAGATATCTTCACAGGATAACACGAATGATACTGCACAAACAAGGACTGTAGATGATTGAGTCTGGAGATTGTTGTGGGCAGTGGGTAATAAGTGCGTCGGATGGCTATATAACGCAGGTGCCTCAGATCACTGACAGCTTTTGGCAAGTTTCCAAAGCAGCATCCGGTTAAATCCAACACCCGGACACTCTTGAGTTTCTCGAGTATATCATGACTCAGATAGTCTTTGGAGCAGAACCAAGAATCATTCAGAACTATAAATGTCCTCAATCTTCCAAGACCATCATAGTTCACAAGATCTCCAAATTGTTCGGCAGACACAGACAAATGCCTAATATGATAAGGTAACACCCCAATGCTGCCATGGTCAATCCTAAAGCATTCGCCATGGGAAACATGAAGTGCGAGGTCATTCATTGAATCATGCATAGTGTAATATGTTTGATCACCGCAGCAGAGTTTTTGGAAAAATGACCGAACTAACAGATCATTGAAATAGCTCCTTCCAATATCTTCCAAGCTTCTACTGTTATATCCTTCTAGATGAACAAGGCCCTGAGCTATCCACATCCAGATTAATCTATTTGAATCAATACGGTAACCTTTTGGGAATAAACTACAATATACAAAGCACTGCTGGAGGTGTTCCGGCAAATTTTCATAACTGAAGTGTAAGGTTGTCAAAATATCATTTGGATTGAGGACATCTTTGTGAAGAACATCCTCCCACTCCGCATCACTGTATTTTCCATTTAAATGTCCTCCGATAACCTTTAGTGCTAGAGGTGAGCCTTTAAGTTTCTGAACAATTTGGTATCCTAACTGCTTCAACTCTGGATAACCTTCTGGCTTACTGCTGCCAAATGCACACCGTCTGAACAGTAACCAACTATCATCTCCTTCCAAACCTTGTAAAGTGAACAAGCTTCTAGAGTCCAGCATTTTTGCAACCAATTCTGTCCGGGTTGTCACTAGAACCTTACTTCCAGAGATTACAGAACTTTCCTTAATAGGAGCTATTATTTCCATCCACATTTGTTTGTTGATGTGTTCTCCATGTTTCTCATCGTACCACACATCATCCAACACTAAGAGAAACCTCTTCGAACGAAGTCTCCATTGAAGTTCTGACTGGAGCCGGCTGAAATTAAAATTGGCCAATTCAGCACTCTCACCATCAGTTGTGGATGCTATGATCTCTTTGATAACTCTAGTTTTGTCGAAGTTACCGGAAACACTAACCCACATTCTGACATCAAAAGAATCCACGATGCGCTCATCCTTATAGACCAGCTGAGCCAGAGTAGTCTTGCCGATCCCACCAACACCAAGCACCTCAGTCCTAAAGTTTTGCTCATTGTTCAGTGAACATTCATCAGATTTATACACGAGCTGACCCACGAGCTCCCGTATCTCCTTTTCTCGCCCAAAAATCACATCTTCATGCAAAAAGGACCCGGTGGTTCTTGTTGGGACATACCGAAGAGACTGAATGGGTTTATCGCTCTCCAGTGTCATCACTCGGACAAATATCTCTGCAGAAGTTCTAACTCTCTCCAAGCTTTTGAGAACCTTCCGCAGTTCTGACCTAAACTTGTCAACATTGACCAAACGCTTGCCAATAGAGGGAAGAGGTGGCTATGCGGCTGAGCAGGTCTTTTTGCGCCTTTTCTTTTAAAAGCATGTAATCAAATTCATCCAACACATCATCTGCATCAGAGACTGCATCTTTCATTTGCTGCAACAACAGAATCTGATTTGTGTCCACTACACGTTGCCTTTCAGCTGCACTAACTACAATGAATATATCCATTAAAGTTGCCTTCAAATTATTGAGATCAGATACCATCTCAGATTTCCACTTATACTGGCTGGACAAATAGGACTGCACCAAAGAAACCATCCTTGTAATAACAGGAGATAGAACCCATCCTACAGCACTGGCTGCTGATAATGTAGCCATGTAATCAAGGAATGTTCCTGTACAACATAACATTTAAATCTTTGAAGTGATAAATAGATGAATATTGTAAAAGGACACATATTGTCTGACTACGATGTTAAATCATTTCAGCTTTGACATCAATGTTTTTTTTTCCAGAGAAGTGCAAAGTTTTGTACTTTTTTTTCTCGAACCTAAGTGAGCTCATTTTGTATTGGAAGAAACCGCCAAGACAGTGAAGGTCTTACAGCTAAACCAAAACAACAAGAAAACGAGGAGCAGAAGGAAATAAAATGATAACAATGTACAAGAGCTTGGCCATGAATGTCTTTTTCATCAAAGAAAGAAAAATAAATGAACAACTAAGACCTAAAACAACACAAGCTCACTAGGATATCACTCTTTTTTCGCAAATATGCAAAGCTTGCGTATCTTTCATTGATAGAAGAATTTGAAAGGGGGGGTGGGGGGGTTACATGACACAACTATTAAGCTTCATGCACTAGCCAATGCAACCAAAAATCCAAACTGATGGAAAGGGCTAGGCAATCCACATATACACTTCAACACCACCTCTCACGTGTGACGCAGGAAGTCAACACATGGATAGACTCAGAGGTATGGCTCAAGAGGCCTATACGTAGACACAAAGTGGGGTATCAGCAATTTTTGGATAAATTGTGGAAGACATGACTTGAACTCAAGACCTTAGGCTCCGATACCATGTTAAGCTTCATGCACTAGCCACCGCAACCAAAAGTCTGAACTGATGGAAAGGGCTCGGATACAATTCAACAACAACCACAGATGGCATAAACATGGTACCCGAAGCACAGAGACATGGGATGCTCGGCCCAATAGAAGCTACAACATAGCGATAAACTGCCCTGACCAAGTGAAGCAACCCAAACCAAGACGAAGTCCCAGAACTCGGAATCCGGTACCAAACGAGCCATGAGCAGACAAGATGACACCTTCATAAAGGGGAATGACACCTTGACGTCACTGCCGTCCAATCCGAAGAATAGGACCTAGGGTTTCCCCCGGCGGTCAAACAGGGGCACGAAGAAAGGTTGTGGCAGTGCCTCCAGGAAGGGAACGGCACCTGCAGGTGTCGCCGCTGCCAGCATCAGCAGGCCGGGTAGGGATTACGCCCTGGACAAATGCTCCGTACACTATCGAGAATGGACAATTGCCAGCATCTCGGGGTTGCTCTGTACACTAAATCCATACACTATGGCTCTTTTGAAGGTAGAGGTGACTGTTACCGTGATTACTTTAGGAGATTGGTGTGTCTATTACTACACCTACTACACTCTTGTCTGACTGTACATGTGCTATTAGTATTGTGCGCAACCCTTTGAAGCATGAGCTCACCAAGCATATTGGTGTTGATGCTTCTTTTGTGTGCGTTGTTGTGCAGGACAAGGTTATTGCTCTTCAGTATGTGTCTTTCGAGTTACAGTTGGTCAAGTTCTTTACTAAGGCCGGACTAGAGCGGGGTGATTTTATCTCTCCAAACTCAGTATTGTGGATCCACCATGAGTTTGAGGCCAGGTGTTATGTTTCATGTATGGCATGTGTATTTTCCCTGGGGGGTTTTCGCGAGTACGCAAAGCTGTATTTTCCCTGTTGTATGAGGGGTTTCCTGCATCTCATAAAATACAAGTTGCATATTTCCTAACAGTTGTCATATTTCAATGAGTTGGAGAAGTATCCTACTGCTCCTAATAAAGAAAAAACGAGGGGGAAAAGAGCCCCTAGCAAAAATGGAAAAAGAAAACTACCGTGAACAGGGGAACCAAAATGTTCTTGAATGTTTCAGCTACAAGAGTACCAGAGAGCAAACCCAAAAAGGAAGAAGGCCAAAACTACAAGATATCAGGCCCAACCATTTTAGATTCAGGAACAAGTTCAAAGAGGGATTTGCCATGGTTATCCATCATGTGAAGAGGAAGGCTCATGTAAGCATCCGGTGCTAGCTTTGCTAAATTCTAGGCTTTAGTTAGTTTTTTCCTCATCTTGTAGATACAGAACTTTGTAAATTATTTAAAGCATATACAAATACAGTAGAGATACTGTTCTTTCAAAGATCAGAGAGCAAACCACAAGCCCAACGAGCTCCTGTTACTTGCATCTAAAGTTCTAAACGAACAGAGACTGCAAACCAAGCACAGAACCAAGCACAGCATACGCTAGCTAGTAAAAGTTTGAGAGAGTACTTGAGTAATCCGACACTCCGGCAGGTGGGATCAGAGATCTGAGCAAGGTGGTTTCTTGATTTTTTTGATCAAGCACGAAGAAGCCGTGTGGCGGACAAGACGACGAGTAGGAGGATGGCGAGCGAGGCAATTGGGGGCGAAGTTTGGTGGAAGGTGAGGAGGGGGAGGAGGAGGAGGCCTCACCCACCGAGCTTAATACGCATTAATGGCTCGAGACTGACCACGCGGAAACGAGACGACGGAGAATTCAGAGCAGAGGAAAAATCGGCGCCCAGCGGGCCACCACCCGAGGAAATCTGACGCGGGCGCCGTGAAGCCACACGATTCGGCGGTGCGCCATGGCGGCTTGGTGGAGCGCGGCGCGGCACCACGCGCACAGCGAAGCGGCGCGACAAACGAGAAAATCTGACGCGGCGTGCCTCGTGGATCGCGGCGCGGCACCCGCACGGCGACGCGGCGTGCCAAGCGAGCCCGACGACCGGGATTGCCTGCCCCATCCTTCCTGCCACCGCCAAAGCGTCTCGCATCGCTGCCGGCGAACTGGCTGGAGGCGGGTGCTAAAACTGTGGCCTGCACCTCAGCCCATCTGCGTCCTGGGAAGAAATAAGATTGGGCCTGGTAAACATGGGCCAAGGGCCTTCGAATGTGTCATTCTTATCTCCACCTCGAATTCACCTCAAAAAACAATTCTCCAGCTCGAAAATGCTCCTGGTATGAACACTAAAAGATTGTCTCTTTCTCAAAAGAAAGTAAAAGATTGTCTAAAAAACGAACAGTGAAAAAAGGAAAAAAAGGAAAAATATTATGACATTTTTTAGCTGCGAACATCAGTTAGTTTTCTACCTACGTGCAAATTTTTAAAATGGAATATCATTTGCATCCGTCTGGGAAAAAGGAAGAAAACCAGTGCTTCGAAATGCTTGCAAAAACTACCGTTTTGGAACATTGATTTTGTTTATTAATTTCTGTACAGAGCATTACAGAAGTTTTTTTGTCATGAAACTTTGCGCACAGCTGAAATACTTGACAATGTTTTTGACACAAAAATCAGTATTTTGAATATATTTTCTAGTTTTTTGTAACATATTATTCATCCCGATGCATATGCACCTGGGAGCAAAAAATCCAGGGTTTAGTGCTCCACCTCTTTTTCTCTCTCTCTTCTCTCTCACGCGTGCGCGCAGGAAGTGAGTGAGGAAGGGTGAACAATAAGGAAAAGGAGGAAATAGAGTAAATTTTTTGCTTTGATCTGAAAATACATAAAATTCACAACCCACTTGGATCTCTTATTAAGAACAAGACCGATGTCTTTAGTGGCATAATGGCATTACAATTATACTTAGTGATTCGGTTTCACTTTGGATTGACTATGCTTATCAAAATCCATTTGGACTTTCTATTCCTATGAACCAAATACCAGATTTTAAAAAATCCACTTATTTACACGTGTATTACTATCATCGTACAACATAAGTCTGTGATATCCTGCATGCTGGTGCGGAATTGGATATTTCTAAATGTATACTACATAATATAAATTCAATCCTTGAGGTTTTGAAGTATGTGAGAATTTTTTACATAAACACAAAAATAAAAAAACTTAACAAACAATATAGCATGTGACCATAGTTAAAAATCCTAACCGGACCACCGTTCGTATCTGAACCGAAGGCACCCACAAAAAAAAGAATCTGAACCAAAGGCCTTGCTGGTTGAACCACTAGTCTGACAATTAAGTATGAGAATATTTAAAATCATTTGCGATACACTAATGCATGTTGCATGGTAGAAATGGTCTCATGTGACCATTAAATATGATGATATTTAATATGATTTTAAACTAATGGATGTTAGCATATCAACATAGTAGGAAATACAATGGTTATAATAATTTTGATGATATAAATACTTGCCTGTGCACTAAAATAGATAATTGATGGGTTTTTTGGTACCTATTTAATGGTTTCTAGCAAGGTTTGTCTACCAATTTATACTGTATCTGCTAACGAGTGTGTTGCGTACTTCTTTCCTTTCCCTCACGCCTGACGGCTAGGCCGAAGTTTTTCTCCCCTCCAAGCTCCACCAACCAGCCTGTGGATTCGTCTCCCCTCTGCATGCCGCTCCGGCTAGTGGCGAAGTGTAAACCAAATCCAAGGAGGGGCGAGAAGAGTTAGTGAGATCAGACAAGCCAGGAGATCAATATTAGCAGATTAACAAGGTGCTTAGCATTAGAGGAGCTTATCCCTGGAATAATTCTCGTGGAGGGGGGTGGGGGCAGGACCCAGGTTGGTCCCGCTGACGCTCCGCCAATGGCTCGACGACTGGCGGTGGGGAGGGAAATCCAGGTGCCTTGA